TTTCAATTAACTGCCATCTTCAAAAGCAGAGACTTAACCTACAGTATGATAACACACTCTTGTTTGATGGAGCAGAATGGAAGGCAAAAAACAATTGATGTGAGAAGTCTTGGCAATGGCTTTCATGGTGAGTGTGGGTGGGGTGGAGCAGAGGAGGTGGGTGGAAGTCAGAAAGTGAAACTGTCTGACTAATCCATCAGAAATGGGGACTTCTGTGACCTAAAGCTAATCCAGCTCTCGCTTTTGCCTAACACGTGCCAAGCAGTGTTTCATATGGACGTGGCTTTCTCTGATGTACCTTCATGCTCCCTGGATCACCAACTCTAGTCTGATAACCCACAGATAAACTCACTATTGTCCAGTTACCAACAGACATTTTATTATAGTTTTTAGAATGCAGACTATATGGAGAAACATGGAAACAGTATACATTGAAAACAAAGATTGAAGTTATATAAAACCAAGAAAATCCAAAGATCATCTGTGGGTAGCCATCCCTCTGGCTGCAGCTGCAGAGACCCCCGCTTGCCCTGAGAAATCACAACTATGTCAGTGTTTGACAATTTTGCTTTCTCCTTTTGCCTGCCTTGATTGTCTCAGGAATGAAGCAGGGTCAAAGAGCAGTCATTATCAAGAAGGCGAGTTTTACAAACAGCAGTGTGCTGGCGAGCCAGCTGTTCAAAGGAAATGCACTGATTTGTAGTGTTTGCCAATTCCCGTGGTATAAATACTCCCACCATAGTCAATTTCGAGGATGACTATAATTAATAAGCAGTGCACAAAAGTTCCTGAAAATTTGACAGTATGCTCTTAATGAGCTAGTGCTAGCCCACTGTAGCACACTGCTGCTTATGACAAAACAAAGATCAGTACCACCAAGAATCTATAAATATATGTGACAACTTTAATTTCCTGAGAAGATATGCTAATGTAAGAGCAACAGGGTCTCCAAGTCTTTGGCACCACAGCTGTTCAGCAGGTTTTCTTTAAAAAAAAAAAAAAAAAAAAA